AGTCCAGCTTACGCAATTCAGTATGACTAAACAACATTATTCACCACATGGCTTTCCAACCCATTTACCCTTTCATTACCCAATTAAGATCAAATAATGTAATACAAGTAAGTATTCTAAGACACAAAAATGCACAAAGATTAAGTATGAGCCCATAATAGATGTCTCATTATTGCTATTAATTAGAGCTTGAGTTTGGGATATTTTCCTTGTTGCAGAAAAATAGAAGTGTTTGGTAATTTAAGAAAAACACAAAAATAAGCATATTAGCTGCAGATTATTGCACATCTCACAGTCTGGGAAGCTTCAGACTGTTTCTGGTGACACACCTTCCAGCTGTGGAAGCGATGTTTAGACAATATTTGAAAATACAACAGAAACTGCAGCCTTCAGCTACTTAGACAAGTCCAAAGGGATCTATAATCATAACATCCATTTATCTGATTTATCTGACATCATGTAAGTTGAGGTACCGGCTATCTGCTGAAAGCTGACATTTGTCCTCAGTGTGCAGAAGTTGGCACATTTAAAACAGTCAATCTGATCACTTCAGAAACAGCTGTAGTCCATAAAGATGCCAGTATCTACCAGACTGTGCTCTCACACCTGAGCTTAGGTAACTCATCATGTGAACACTCTACAGCTGCTTCCAAGCACTCCATTTTTTTTTTTCTGCATTACAGCTGAGGGTGAATAAAAGAAAATGTTAAAACTACATGGTCTTACTGGCAAAAAGCAGAGTTAAAAATTGCACACAACTTATGAAATACCAGGAAATGAAATCATGAATTGTACTCCAACGCACTATTAACAGTTGGTGGCTGAAGCATCCAGCTACTGCACGTCCTGACCTAGAGCTCAGAATTAATATTTTAAGATCATACACCAGTCTGTTCAAACAGCTATCTGCATGCTGCAGCAACAAAACGCCAAGTTCAGTGCTCCACAACAGTATGCAATAGAAGTACCAGCACAGCAGCCCCCCTTTTCCCGACTCTTAAAAGTTGAACTGACAGAGAAATTCAAGTTTGATCATTGTAAGACCGAAGGTATTCCTAAGACGTCGTGCTCCTTCTATCAGCCAAACAAATCACCTGCCCCTCCTTGTGCAAAATCTAACAAAAAAAAAAAAAACAATCCTCATTTTCTCCAGTAGTGACTATTCCAAAGCAAATGCCCCAATTCAGACTCGGCAGCCAATGCAAGCTCTGACTACAGCTCCATACAATTTGCTTCTAGGTTTTGGTGCAGAGGTACAAGGCAGCAATCCTTTTGTTACAGCTGATCACATTGCAAACGACTGCCAAGCAACAGCAAAAAGCACATCTCCTCAACATGCTACACGAAGCTAATGGAATTATACCACCTAAAACAAGTGAAAATAAGCACAAGTTTTCTAAAACACCAGCTGTGCATTGTGGAAAGCAGTTCAGGCAATTCTGCTCTGCAGCTCATCTGGATGCATGTGACGAATGCTAACTAACCAAGCCATTCCTTTTCCAAGTGAATCATTTACATTTAGGGTAGCTAATTCTTGGATTTCAAAACAGTTTTGAACAAAGAACATTGCAGGTTTAAAAAACATCTTTCCAAGTACATGTCAAACTCAGAAGATATACTAGATTTTTCTTTGTTGTTGTTTGGTCTTGGGTTTGTTTTTTTTTGTTTGTTTGTTTGTTTTTAAGAAAAAGAACTTAAAGGTCTGAAACAATGGGACAAAATTCTTTTAATCGTGCAAGTCCAGGATCCAAAGTCTGCAATTGTCAGCACCAACAAATATAAATGCATTTTCACTGCTGAAAGAAAAGATTAAATTAAAATAAGCCTACTTTGTCAGTAAATAGGTTGCATAAATCCAAAGTTTTTACACTGGAGTTACTTCAGTAGTACCAGTGAGTATTTCACAACCATGCGAACAACATTTGAACAGACAGAGCTGTAACCAGTATGGCAAACATCCCCTACTTATAAGTAGGAAAGGTCAAATAACAACAGGTTATACTTCTGGACTACTGGTCTGATCCTTGCCTACTTACTGTTAGGTCAGCAACACAGGAAGGCACATTCCTTTGGTTCTGGATGTAAAGTGACAGCAGAAATTGGGGAAAAAAACACTAAATCAGATTACCAGTAGCAGCTATTTAATCAAGGTAAAAATAGGTATACCTATATTGAGGCTTTACGTTCTACAGAATGGATGTACTCAGCATGAATGCGAAAGCCACAGCATTTTGGAGAACTGATCCAGCAATAGTGCTCTGCACTGCCTGAAGTCCAGTCCATCAGTCTGCACAGCCCACATTCTGAATGTATTTAGAACAGTAAGCTAAACATTTTTACTGACTTTATGAGACATCTATAGAGGGAATGAATCACGCTGTTGACAAGTCAGCAAGAATGGCATGTATAGAAAGCTAGGTAAATCAAACCAGGTAAATCTACAAGGATAGCAGCATGCTAGAATGCAGAACAGGAAGCCAAACAGGGATCTCAGCTGTGAACAGTGATTTTTGTTTTATTTATGCATGCTCTCAAAAGCAAATAGTTATGTGACTTTTCAGCTGATGCAAAATGTTCAGGAGTATATTAATTTAAACTGATTGTAGAGATGACAAGAGGATCTCATAAAAAGGAACAACCATGATAAGGATAGGCGGTGTAAACCATATGGAAAAAAAAGAGAACACCACTTAACTGTAAATAACAGTAAATACGAATTCAGCAATAACTTTTGTTTACAGAAGATCGCGAGGCACATGTTTAGTCTCTAAAAATAAATCATGTCACTGTCAAATAAGTGGATGGTATTACAGGTTATTATAACAGGAATAGAATAAAACCAGAAAGGTGCCACCACAAAAAAAAAAAAAGGCTGCACTCATCTTTAATACTGCATAGATCTTGTAGTTACTTCATCCTTCCTGAAATCAAACAAAAAGGTTCAAAAGGGTAACAAGAATTAAAAGTACATAACTGCTTCTGGACAAGGAGAGGTTAGGTACAAAGGTCTTTCCCGTTCATTTTCTGGCACTACCCTTTCTGTAACTCTCCCCACCAGCAAGCTGCTTTTCTAAGGTAACAATGCTTTTTCCACTTCTTACTTTCTAGAAACTGGGGACAAACAACTGAACTTTACAGCAGTTCAGATTTCAAAATAAAAGAGGAATACTCTTATGAGATGCAACTAACTTGCACTGCCCTGAGATACTTTGCAAACAAAAAACGTAACAGATTTTAAAAGAATAATTGTTTGAACAGAAATTCCAAAGGCTATCAGCAGTGACATCCGAAATGCTCATTCAGGAAAGTACCCAGTCTACACACCAGGAAGGCTTATTTCACATATGCCTTACCTTTAACCCTCCCTGGGAATACTCCCTGAGTATTCTCTCTAAGAATACTGGAACACTGAGCCACCCAGCACTTATTCCAAGCCAGCCCAATTCACGAGCCCATGTCCATTCACCACAAACTCAGCTAGCCACTCCTGTGCTCCATCTTTCACAGCATCATACCAGAGTTGCTGGCACTTGGTCACAGCAAGACCAAGAGGGGCAGGCTCACTGTATGCAATAAGAAATTCTCTTTCCCAAGCCCGCAGAAGTGTCCACAGCTAAAAAACATTTAAACAAAAACAAGCACAGGAATTTGTGTATTAAAATTGTGTATCACCGAATCTGAATTAGTACGGCAGCAAACCATGTGTGCACTAGTCAGTCTCAATTAGAAAAATCTTAAGTTTGCTTAAACTACCATGAAGTACGTATGAGGAAAAAACTGAGCTCTAAGAATGTTCACAAGACAACAGAGGCCTCCATTTTATCCTGTCACTGCAACAGGCAGAAGCATTCAAACCCAACACTACTTGGCAGTTCTTGTACAGCAATTCAAGTCACTTTTCTTGCTCCCATTCTCCAAATGTAACTAAGATCCTTTCATCTCTACATTTTCTTCAGCTTGTTCACACTAGATCAGCCACGCTTTTGTCTGCAGCCAATGCAACATGAAGATTAACTGTTACCAAAGGCGTTTTTAATATTAATTTAAAACTCAAAGTAAAATTGTGAAGGTCTTTGTCAAGCTTTTGTGGAAAATGGTGGCTTTTAATAATGAAAAATGACCCCAGAGAAATGATACAGTCACTGAGTCTGGCAGTCAGAACTTTTGGTCACCCCTTATTAAGGCTCCTAAGAACAAATTTTTCTTCACCAGAAATGCAGTTCTTATTTACTATGTCAGGAATTCGTGTCAACATTTGTACACCTGTCCACTGCAAGTCTGAGTTGTTTCATAACTGTTTTCTCATAAAAGCTCTTTGCAAAACATCGTCTGGAACTAATAGCATTATTTCTCAAATCTGTTTGCTTTACACAAATGTAATCAAATCAGAAGCTAGCTTAATTAAATCAGATATGAACTAAATCCATGTTCTTTTAAGCACACAGGATGCAGTGTTTTCTGAATTCTTTTCCTAGTATTAATGACAGAACCAGTGAAATCACAACCAGTTAAATATGTTTAAAAATATTCTGCATCTTCTCTAGATTCTAATGCAACCCATATGCTCCTTCGCCAAGAACTCACAAGCTGTCTGAGCAACCTGTCACCACAGTCCCTATTCCAACATTCTAATCAGGATTCTTCAGCACAATACCAGCTTTTCAGTACCATTTTGTCCATACACAATTTGTATTCCTTATGATTACACAGCACATAAAACTTCATTTCATGCCTCATGTTTCTCACATCTGCCTACTGTGAGAACTGTAAGAAGATCTAAGCACAACTTCAATGGCTTGCTTACACAGTGATTTTGGAAAATCAGATGTAACACCAGAACCAAGGAAAGATGGTGTATTTCAAAGGATTTATCTTCAAAAAAAATCTGGTTTACATAATTTGTGACACAAACAATTCCTCAACTCCAAGTACCAGAGAGTCAAAGTTACCAGAATATAACCCTCATATTGTAGCAAGAATACGTTGACTGGGTGACTTACCTTTTTTTCTCAGGTCCACCAATAGTACTTCTCTAAAAACTCCTCTTGCAAAGTTCTTCACTTGGAGCTATAACCTTGACTCCATGGATCCAGGAAAAGATGTGAACCTACGGGCTGAGGAATAAAAAAAAACAGGAACGATCAAGTCAGGCTCAATTTGGGCTAAAAACACTAATGGGGCAAACAAAGAGTAAGGTGTTGGCCAGAAGGTATTAAGGGATAGAAAGACTGCATTTAAGGGGGGTTTTTTTGTTTGTTTTTTTGGGGTTTTCTTTGTTTGTTTGTTTTGTTTTTTAAATATTAAAAAACCCTCCACATCAAGGTTTTCAGATTGGCTTTTATAAACAGATGCATTCCCTCCCTATTTCTAGCTGTTTACGGCCTTTTACTGGTGAAGATACTAATGTCCGTGCTTATGGATGTCTAGGATAGAGATTTAACTGAAATTACTACCAAAATCTCACCATTGCTACTGATTGAACTACTGATAGCTCACTCAGACATTTCCTTTCACAGAAGTTACCAGTTTCACTACAGTCGCTTACATCAGTATCGCATCATTGCTAATATGCACTTGATACTGTGATCTGTAATTAAATCATCACTGAAAATCATCAAGACAGCTTGAGACATCATTAAATCCAGGGGTACACATCCAAGCAGTTATTTAGAGCCCCTTTAATCTCAGTGGAAAGAAAAAAAACAGTTCAAAGTCATACATACCTACTTTGAGCATACTTAAAAATGAAAACATTTTCATCCAAGTAGACAAACGCTAACAGATAATTTCCAATTTTTATGCACAACATCAAATGCACAATATCAAATTAATAATTATAAAATTCTTCCACAATAGTGAAGTGGGTTTGTTCAGCATTGTTTTTTTTTTTTTAAAGAAAAAATTAATCATGAAATAGGAGCAACATGAGTAACAATTTAGTCAAAATACTTGTCCTTCCCAGCATCACAAGAGCTTAATTTCAGCCTGCAGACCACATTTAAACCAGTTAGTCCACTATGACAACCTCTAGCAGAGAAAAGGGGAGAATAAAATCCCCTTTCATTACCTAAGACAACTGCTTCAAAGTAATAAATCTGCCTTGCTTACCAAGTGCACTGCAACAGCATGCATCAGCATTTCAACTTCCACTCAGAATTAAATCTGGGGTAAATTAGCATAGAAATCAAGTCTTCAGCTTAGCCTGAGAGAGTGAAGGATTCAGCCCTTCTGCACTACCTTCCTGATCACAAGACACTGGAAATTTCAGCTTTTTTCTGTTACCTTTCTGTTCCCCCTATTAAATCCATTTATTAACATTCAAGCTTTATTATCTCCCAAAATCAGCACAGACTTTGTGCTACAATACAGACAATTACTACAAACAAACATGTACTAAAAGCCAGAGCAAGTCTTTGCACGTTTGTTTTCCTTGCATGTAGTTCTTGCATTCAAATCAATTTTAAGAAAAGGCCATAATATGACTCCTGACGCCAACAGTTTAAATTAACTCACATAATAAACAACTTGCGCTGAAACTGTCTGCCAGATCCAGAGATTAACAAAAATGTTACTGCATTCTTAGTTCAGTGAGACACTGAGCAGTCAGTAGCAACATGACATTTAACCAACAGCAATTAACAGCTGGTCAATCACATGTTCAATGGAAAGTAAAGACATGCAGCTCAAAATGCTGCTGTCCCCTTCCAGTTTCCTGGTGCATCCATGTAAGCAGCTGAGATCCATCCATCAACGCCACAACGCCCAAGCCATGGATGTTCACAAAGCTCCTGTGACATTACAACACATCAGATGCTCTCCCATTTACAATATTCTAAATCACCACGTTTATTTTGGCACTGCTCTACCAATAGATGGCAAACTTAAAAACAACAGCAGAAGAGAATAAGGTGCTATTTCTTCAGAAAAATCATCAAATGAAAAGACAATTACAAGCAATACCTGTTGAAGTAAGTTAGACGTATCTCAAGCCATCACTAAAGCAGATTCTGTCAGCTAGGATCAAGTGAGATCTACAGAAATAGCGCCTACTGAACTGCAACTGAGCACCTACCAATTTTATTTAAAATCCCATGCTTCTTTAAGATACAGTGCCGGCTGAGAGAGGGACAAAGAAAAAGCCTTTGGTGAAGTGAGATGAACTTCTGTAGATTTGTTGTTCTTTTCCTCTCTTACTTGATGTTATTAAGTAAAGATATATGGCCTGGCCTGTTACCTGGGAGATGTAGTAAACCAAGGGCAGCTATCAGCATTATAATTGTCTGATGTTTCAGGCCTCAGCAATTACTGACAAACTTAAAGGACCTGAATAAAAGCTGACTGAAAATTAGACATCTAATTACTCATAAAGCAGTTAAAGTGATCTACTGCAACACACGCAGCTCCTATCCTGCACTGCACAGGACCTGCTGGCACAGCGTGCCACACAGGGCACAGCCCAGAAGTAATGCACGCTGGTCGTCATGTGGCTGCTGCAGCTTCCTGAATCATAGAGATAGCTGTCATCCTCCCAGCTCTAAATTGCTTGGCATAGGAGCATGGAAAGCAAACAGGAAACACCCAGGAAAACTGCCTTCCTTCTCACTCTGCCTCACGCTCATTAGAGCGATCAATGAAGCTTCAGGCTCAGCACAGACAGAAATACCACCTGGCCAGCACCCAGCAGCTGCCTCCCCACACCCACAGCACAGCTCCTTGCTACCAGACTTCCCTGAGGCCCAGCAGAGTACTGAGCAAGCAGTCAATTCACTACTCTCAAAGTTTCCTCTGAGTACCCGAGCATTTGGATTCCACCACCACCATATCACATACTGCCTGAGGATGAATAAGTGCAGTGGCAAGCAACAGATTCCATTCCTGGTACTAAAATGCTTGAAAAAGAAACAGCATAGGCTTTGCTCTGCTGTGAGGTGGGATGCAGTGTCACTGCCTGCTCTCAACACCCTGCCAGCCACACCATGACTGACTTCCACGGCAGACAGCTGCTTCCTGGGGTGGCAGCTGAGCTGCGGGACAAACCAGAATGAGCAAGGAAGCAGGCTAAAAATGCCTGTGATGTGACAGCCAGCACCCAGCAGCAGGCAGGCACAGTGGGAACTAAGTGCATGCTGCCAGATTCAAACCAGCAGAGAAGTCAAAACTGCATTACCTCCACCAGTCAGAGTCCACTGATTTCTACAATGCATTGAATAAACTCAATTATTCTGACAGATGACCCTAGTATAACTACTCTATTCACAGATCACTATTCTCAACAGTGCCTTCTGTTCTCCTTTTCTAAGTCTGGAAACCATATAAAACAGTCTGTTCCTTACAGAACATGCAATTGTCCTTCACATGTTAGGCAGTGTGTAGGGTACCAGTAACAAGGACAGCACCAATTAGAACGGTTTTACTGTTACATGGGAGACAACACCACCTCCCTTCATAGGGAATCACAATTATTCATTCCTTAATTGTTCTATAATTCCTCTACATACATTACATTTTACTAGACTCAAGGAGGGAACTTTGGAGCAGGGAATGCACACAGACAGCAACACAGGTATGGAATCACAAGTCAGCTTCTTCCACTCTGGCAAAAAAATAAAATAAAAAAATAAAAAAAAAATCAGATCTTCAAGTGCTAGCACAATCCATTCTCAAAAGCAAGTTTGACACAAGTTGATCTTGACCACAGACCCAGTGAAACAAATTTCACCTTACCTCCCTTGATGTTACGTACCACTTGGTCTAAAAACATAAGCATACGTGGCAAAAGGTCCACCCAAACCACACTGCTGTAGGCCCTGGTATGGCCCCAAATCATAGCAACTACTGACTTGTAAAGCATACATGGCCAAAGCACCAAGTGAAAACAAAGGCTGACTACATCACATGTGGTACACTCTCCAACAGCACTTCCTAACGCAGACAGATGCATATATGTCATACTACTAAAAGAATAACTTCCATTGCAAAGGTTGACTGTCTACCAGGCACCAGTTAGCTGTATTACAGCGCCATCCTACTCTGCACCGTGTTCGTTCTGTTTCTTCTCAGCTCGAACACACACTTGGTTTGGCAGCAGCATACCATCCAAGCTGACTGCTGGAGCACAGCTCCAAACCTGAAGACACAGCTGCGTGTCTGAATTTTGTGTCCAACCTGTGTATTCAACCACTGACTTTGGGTACTTCACCTCCTGAGTTATCTGCAGAACAGTACCTTCCCTGCAGCCTTCCAGAGCAAGGCACATCACACCAGACAGCTACCATTGCTTAAGGCAGCACTCCCCTCCAGCACTGCTTGTTGCTGGAGAGGACAGCAATGCTCAGATGTGAAGTACAGAGCTTCTCGTCTCATAAAATAGGTTTCTTTTAACATCTGTATCAGCCTAGATCTCTGCTACAGACAGAGATGCTGAAAGCATTTATATAAAGCCTTCCCTTGTAAATATAAGTGTTTTATCACACTAATTTCCCAGCATCAAGATTGAGAGTTTGGAAACCTATTCAGAAAAAAAGGAGCATCAGAGCGCTAGCAAAAATTAGGAGAAGATCTAAACAGCTTCTGTATGTTTCTTTGGCCAATTTAGCCTCATGACAGTAAAATTATGCAAGTGACCACAGGCATTCGAATTGCATGCCTCAAAAAAGATTGCTGGAAGCCACAAACTACCTTTACTCAGATTTCACACCAAGGACATTTCGGAGTTACGTCAAACTGTTTTTTTTCCAGCGGTCAGGCAAAGTGTGCAAACTTATAAATATTGCACAGAAAGATCATTCATCCATGCAATAATGCGCTTTTCAGTTATTTACACTCAACTTTTTACCACAAATAAATAAATATCATGAAAGAAGACTTACATGAAAAACAAGTAAGTTTAGAACTTGCAAGGCAGTCTAGTTTAGTTACTCAATTTTTTTTTGCTGTTAAACAGTTTACATATTTGAGTGAGTTTTCTATTTTGTTGTTCCCTCACTGTCTATGACAAAAAAAGCTCTATAAAGGAAAAAGCCACATGGGAAAATATCTTATTCTCTTCTTCCATCTTCCTCTGTCTGTCTCTGTCTCTCATGAAATAAGACCACAGGAAGCTGACCTACAGCTT